AGTTTGTTTTCTGAACCTGTGACAGAGGAATTGATAACAATTTTTTCTTCACACTATGTAAAAGGGAGTTGAAAGACTTTTTCCTTCCAAGAGTAGTCTAGGTGGTTTGGTATCAGACTGTTTTTATCTGCATCCCTTGATTTAGCAGGCCCAGAATTCTGTCTGTTTTCCAGATTTTGAGTGCACTGAGACACCAAGTCAGCATCCACATTTCAGCATGTTTGATCAGGCAGTTTGGATGTGGTGGGGTTTTGGAGTTATAATTAAGTTTCTTTCCTAGCTAGGGCTGTACATGGCAGAGTCTAAAGGAGGACTAAATAGTCAAGATTTGGGATTTTATATTCTTTTTGCCTCAGTTTCTTTTTCTTTCATATTGGAAAGTTTAGACTACTAGTCTGTGCTTAAGAGTTAATTGTTTCCCCGTTAGCTCAATTGAACTCCAGTTACCAGCTCTTCAGCTTTACTTTCTTCTCTACAGTATTTTCCATTTCTTTCTTCCATTCAATTACTAAATGATTTCTGAAGAGTCTAATTGGTGTTTTCCCCCTCTAATTAAGGACCTAATTTCCTCAATTTAAACTTATGCCAGAAAACCCTTCGAGTCTTTTTTTAAACTGTTCCATCTTCCATTTATCAATAAAATAGCTTATTTCCAAAACAATTTCCAATACAATTTCCCTTTTTATAGACAAGGCTAGTCTTAAGACTTGTTGCAAATTTTTAACCTAAGGTGTACTGGAGTGTGATTTGTTTGTTTATTCTCAAAACTGAAAGAGTTATTCACTTTCAATGACAAGGAAAGATGCTATATGAAGATTTGTTTGCAACTATTGCACAGTCATACAAGAAGCTGTATTTCAACTCAGTTTTCAGTTGGATAATTGTGCACAAATGTGCTGTAAGGTAGTTAGAAAAAGCAGTGTTTGCTTTGATTAGAGCTCATTAAGCCAGCACTCAGCTATATTAGTGGCATTCGTCGGAATCTTGGCAGTACATAATGTTCATAAGGCTGCCAGTGGAGCTTCATTCACACTTTGAGTGCTAAACACTGTCATTGAAGTTGAGGAAATAGTGCCATGTTTGAGAGAGCAGTACTTTAGTTAGATAGAGACTGTGGGACTGCATCTTCTGACTTAGCATGAGCAGGATACTGCTGAAAGCCACCCACACAGTGAATATGCATATAGAGTAACTGTTTTTCCAAATTTGTTGTCTGTATGTGCAAACCCTTTCCATCTTTCCCATTCCCCAGAGTCCTGTTTAAATTTTGGATCACTAGGTTGAGAGAGGAAAGAAGTAACCTTTCGTTACTTCTTTTGTGCCTAGGAGGTAGTGGGATTTAAAGTGTCCCTTGTACATCCTCTGTGAGAGCTTGTCTTCACAGTGTTTCCAAAACCCTGTTTCCACTGCTCTTCTGGCAGCTTTTGACATCTGTTGTGTTCTCCATTCCCATTGCTATTACATATTACAATTCTGTTGGTGCAGTCATCCCAAGCTGACTTGTCATCCAGATGTGGGAATACAAGCTTTTCAAAGTTTTGAAGTAGATAGTATTTAAGTACAATGCTGTGCCTATGTTAAAACATCTAAATACAGCAGGAGCAAGAATAAGACAAGTTGGATCAGCTCTGCTTCTAGTATTTCCAGTGCCCTTCAAGACTCTGTTTCTCTGCAATCCTCGGTGATTTCTAGAATCTGACAATTGAGGAGCCACACTAGTTCTGCTACAGTTTATCTGAGAATTTTGGCCTATTGCGCATGAATAGGAAATTGTTATCTCCTACCCACATTCTTCTTCAAAGTTTTCCATGGCTTTCCTTTGGTAATTCGTGTTTTCTCAGTTGCAAAATGCATTACTGCATCTTTAATAATACCTTTAATAATACCTTTTTTTATTCACATTACTTCCATTAGCTTTGGAGAGGGTTTTGAAGGATTTAGTCCTAGGAGATTGACCGTCCTGTGCTATCTTTTCCAAGACAATGCTGAGGATTGATCTGATAGTTTTATCATGGCGGTTTGTTTAATTTCACAGCCAGTATACAAACTTGCTCCCATTTTTTCTTCTACTTTTCATCTCTGGGATTTGGGCAAGATTTTGACCCAGGGGTGTCATGCTTATGTTTTTGTACATGGTATTGTTTTGTACACGTAACAGAAGTTTTCAGAAGGGTCTCAAGTCCTTCTGCTCAGGGGTACTCTCAATCCCTTCATCCCCAGACTGTATTAATAAAAGGGGTTGCCCCCACCCAAGTGCAGGACCTTGCACTTGGTCCCATTGAACCTTCTGAAGTTCACATGGGCCCAATTCTCGAACTTGCCCAAGTCTGTCTAGATGGCATTCCATCCCTCTGATGTGTCAATTATACCACTCAGCTTGGTGTCATCTGCAAACTGATGCGACCATCCAGACAATTCCTTATCCACCAACCAGTCCAGCCAACACATCAATATCTCTCCAGTTTAGAGAGAAAAATGTTGTGGGGGACTGTGTCCAAGGCTTTACAGAAGGCCAGATAGGCCATATCCATAGCCCTTCCTTTGTCCACTGATGTAGTAACTCCATCATAGAAGGCCACTAGGTTCGACAGGCTGGCTGTTGCCTAGGTGAAGCTGTGCTGGCTGTCTTGGATAACCACCTCCCTGTCCTCCATGTACCTTAGCATAGCTCCTAGGAGGATCTGTTCTATGATCTTCTCAGGCACAGAGGTGAGCTGACAGGCTGGTAGTTCCCAGGGTCTTCCTTTCTACCTTTTTTTTTAAATGAGTGTGATATTGCCCCTTTTGCAGCCACCAGGGACCTCTCCTGATTGCCATGAATTCTCAGATACCATGGAGAGTGGCTTGGCAAATACATCAGCCAATTCACTCAGGATTCTGGGATGGATTTCATCAGGTCCCATAGATTTGTGTATGTTCGGGTTCCTCAGTGGTCAGAAACCTGATCTTCACTTACAGTGAGAGAGACTTTGCTCCCCCAGTTTGTGCCTTGCAGTTCATCCACTTGAGAGGTGTGGGGAGAAAGCCTGCCAGTAAAGCCTGAGGCAAAAATGTTGAGTACCTCAGCCTTCTCGTTGTCCATTGTTACCAGTTCACCAGTTGCAAGGGCTTTTGAAACATCATATATACACATATATATATAAAATAATGCTATTTTAAATATTATAATAGGATAAGTTATTTGACTGTTTCATGTACAATTTGAAAGAAATTCTAGAAGACCTTTTTTTTCTTCCCCCTAGTTCTCAGGTGCAAGCAGTCTACTTATTTCACAGGGAAAAAAATTAAAGTAAGAAAACTGGTGATAAAAATGCTAGACTGACTCTAGCATTTCTATGGCAACAAAGTAAACTGTGTTCCTTTTGGTGTGAAACAGTGAATTTTTCTTTGAAAGAACATGTATATGCACCTTTTCTCTGTGGGTAGAGCATGCATGCCGTCAGTTGAACAAAAGACTTTAGCTTTAGCATACTTAGAGCAAGCTTGCTCATACTTTAATTGGGAAAAAAGGAAATAATGATAATGAAGTTTGCCAGTGATCTTGAACTATTCAAGGTAATAAAAAAAATAATCAAGGCTAACTGAAGAATTGGAAGACTCAAGACATTAAGCAAGCAGTAAGGTGGCAGATGGAATTCAGTGTAAACAAACGTAGTGAGGTGCATGGAGGAGCAATCCTCTACAACTATCAAGTGTTACCATTTTTGGAAAGTAATTTGGAGGTCATAATAAATCTGTAAAATTATTAGCCTCAATGCTTAGGAGCTATCAAAGAGGCAGTGTAGTCATTACAAAGAGAAGCACCAAGAATAAAACAGAAATTACCAACTTGCATCAATTCAACTCTGGCATGTTTTCAATTCTACACTGTCAGATGTATTTAAAGATGCTGCAGAGTTATAAATAAATATTCATACATGCATGTGCACCCCAAAACCAGGAATTACTTTTATGCATGTCCGTTATAAGCTGTTAAATAATCCTCCCTTTTCCTTTTAAGTATCTCCCATTTATTATTTCCATGTTTTCAGCCTATCATGGAAAGCGAATTTTAAGATCTCAGTCTTTAAGATACTCTTTTTTCAGTAAACTTTCTGCAAAGTTTTCCCTAAAAATCACCTCTTTAACCTTAAACAGTGATTTATCTGATTAAGTATGCAAGGAAAAATAAGAGCAAAATAAGTTTTCATCCATTTCTGCTGTATCTTCACTGACATCCTGTAGCAGAAAACAGCTTTTTAAAGTTTCTTTTATTTTCTGGCTTCTGGGGACCTTTAACTAGCTGTTGTGAATATGTAGGACTTGGTCACCTCAGGTTTGTAACACAGCTTCTGCAGCCATGTAAAAGCACTGCAAATACCAAACTTGGGAAAGCAGAAAACTTGTCAAGTCTCAGGGGAGAGTCCATTCAGTTCCTGCTGGGATGACATTGAATAAGGCTGCTAAAAGAAATCTTTTGCATTGTAGGCCTGGACAAAAATGCTAGTTGCAATTTCTTTCAGCAGGCAGTTTTAGAACTTAGATTTAAAAAGAAAGAGGGATGTAAGAGACAAGTTGGGTGAATCTGAAAAAATAGGTAAGAAATACAGGAAAGAAGATCTATGCAGAAAAGGAAGCCTGCAAAAGATGAGCTGACTGTCCACATTCAGGTAGGTACTGAGTAGTGAGAAGCAACTTGCTGAACTAGTAGCTAGCTTCTTTCTCTAAATGACATTGTTTACGCATCAAGGGCTAACATATAAAAGTGAGAAATGTCGTAAAGTGGGGTATTGTCTAATGATCATTTTGAAAGATGTACTAATGATCTGTAAAAACGGGACATATACCTAGTACTAAAAGAGAAATAGTGGATGATGAGAAGTTTCCAAAAGTAATTAAATAGTCTTCAAATTAATTTTTTTCCAGTGAATTAATCGAATCATATAGACGGTGGGTATTGAAATTTAGACCTGATGGTATATTAACTTGATTTTGCAAATATTTTCTGTTGTATTTTGCAGAATCAAGAGAAGGCATCAGTCAGTTTTCCATCACTTCTTAGCCATATGACTTCTTCTTTCTTAAATCATCCTGTAATTCCAATGACAACATATGCTGATTCTGGTGTCCCAGAGATGCTAAATACTTTTTCTCCACTTATGTCATCCATGCCTTGTGACATGCATATAGTCAATCTAAGGACAATCCAATCAAAGGTAAGGTCATGCTACTATTTTTATGAACAAACATATGATATAGCTTACTAATACAGTGTAATCAAATACTTTATTCTAGGAAAGTAATTTGGAGGGTTTATATGGTATGAAAAACTGCAGCATGATGACTGTTTTTTATTAAATTTCCAAGAACTAGAGGCTTGTGTCTGAGTAACATGAAATACAGAATTTTTTTTTCACAACATAATAATAAGTGTTGTGCATTATTTTGTCTGTGGAGGGGGCACATTTCAATGTGTTCCCAAATTTTAAGAGCAGAAGGGATCATATACCATATGATATCATGTATCATATTGGCCTCTTCTGTATTAAGAATTAAATATAATTTGTCTTTTAAATAAAGCATATTTTTTTTTTAGATAATTCTGATTCCATTTTGGAAGGCTTCAAGAAAATCTGCCACATACTGAAATCTACAGGAGTAAATTATTTACGCTTAAAAATATTTTAACACAATACCTATTTTAATTTTTCTGACATCAGCTTACAGTCCTTGGTTCCTGTGAAACCCTGTTCTGTACTCAATACTTTTTTCCTTGCAAAGGAACCTACACAATTGTAACCACCATATTTCAGTTTTCTTTTTAATGAACTATAAAGTAGAACTGTTTGTACATCTTGTGTAAATTCTTCCCAGTTTTTCAACACCTTTTAAAATGTGTGTGTATTAGCTATGTGATGTATTGCAGTATCACTCACCAGTGTTGTTGTACTTGGATATTTACGAACTAGTTGTCCCTTCTCCCTTAGGGTCTCCATGGTGGCTGGTAGAACTGCTCATCTCTAATAACCTCAGATTATATTAATTTTATCATATTTCATTTTTAGTCTTAATCCTTATATTAGATTTACAGAATCAATTGACTTTGTCACATTTTCTCTGATGGTAATTCAGTCTCATGTATACTTCTTCAGCTGTGACTGTTTCTTAATTTCAGAGTGGAATAATTCTTAGGCAGGTCTATGCCTTTGAATAGTTAGGAGGAATCTTTGTATTGAATTAATCTGCATGTGAAATGTATGTTCCACATTTCACTGTAAAATCTTTTCGTTTCATGAAACATCTTGTTTGCTTCAGCATGTCAAGTTTAGACCTTCAGGAACATGCAGCCTCTCCCTTTCCAAGGCCTAAACTTCCTCCCCTTGTTTGTATCATGTGGCCATGAAACCTGTAAAATGGAAGGCTGGTTCCATCTGCTTTTTTTGAGTTCAGTGTTAGTACTCTTAAGTGAATCTACAATTTTATCTGGGGTATACCATTCCCACTATCCCAGCTGGTATAACATTGTTTGAGGTTATGATCTCTTTGGTGTCTGCAACTGTATCTTTCAAAGATTACTTAATAGACAGCTTTAATGTGTGCACTTCAAAATGAAAGCTATCAGTAGTCTATAGGAGCACTATCTTTACAGACAGGACAGTTCTTCCCTACAGCAGTGTCGTGGCCAGACAGCTCGTTCACTCACTCCCCCCCTTCTTGCCCTCCCCCTACTCCTGGAGGGACGGAGAGGAGAATCGAGAAGAATGCAACTCCCACGGGTTGAGATAAGAAGAGTTTAGTAAATAAGGTATAACACAAATCACTGCTGCTACCACCAATAATAATAATGATAAGGGAAATAACAAAAGAAGAGAATACAACACCTCAGCACCAGCCAACCGATAACTACCCCCCCCCCCCCCCCCCCCCCCCCCCCCGCAGCCCGACCAAACACCGACCCATACCTTGTCCAACCCCGAGTCCACTAGCTCTTCTGGGTAACTCTCAGTTACACCCTGGAATACCACCCTTGTATGGAGTACCTCTTTGGCTAGTTTGGGTCAGGTATCCTGTCTCTGCTTCCTCCTGGCTTTCCCTCCTCCCTGGCAGAGCATGAGGCACAGAAAGACTAAGAAGGAGAAAAATTACTGCTACTGCTGAACTCAGGACAAGCAGAAATGTTGCTATACCTTGAAAATAATTTCTTGCATATGAGACAGTCTTTTTGAATCATAGAATAGTTAGGGTTGGAAAGGACCTTAAGATCATCAAGTTCCAATCCCCCTGCCATGGGCAGGACACCTCACACTAAACGATCTCAACCAAGGCCTCCTCCAACCTGGTCTTGAACACTGCCAGGGATGGAGCATTCACAACCTCCCTGGGCAACCTATTCTAGTGCCTGTTACCCCTTGTCCTATCACAACAGTCCCTAATGAAGAGTCCCTCCCCAGCATCCCTATAAGCCCCCTTCAGGTACTGGAAGGCTGCTATGAGGTCTCCATGCAGCCTTCTTTTTTCCAGGCTGAACAGCCCCAACTTCCTCAGCCTGTCTTCATACGGGAGGTGCTCCAGTCCCCTGATCATCCTCATGGCCCTCCTCTGGACTTGTTCCAACAGTTCCATGTCCTTTTTATGTTGAGGACACCAGAACTGCATACAGTACTCCAGGTGAGGTCTCCCTTTCTTGATCTTTAAAGAAACTGGATAACAAGTGTCATGATTCTGGCTAATTGATACATTGCAGTTTTTTCCAGAAATGTAGGCTACTTCATTGGTTTAGCTGTTGATTTTCAAGAAATTGTATCATTGCAATTTCACATAAAAAGAGTACTGAATTTAGAAAAGTATTAAGACTTAAGGTAGAAATCAGAATGCATGAAAACGCCTTAAAGCATAAATGAGAAAAAAATGTGAGGGGTTTCCTAGTTACCCTTTAAGTTCTGTTCCTCTCAGTGGAAAGAATATTGGCTGTTGTTCTACAATTGCAAGATTTGTGCTCTTGTGATGGAAGAGTCAAATACCTGAGGAATATAAAACTTAAAAACTGGAGCTGTATTTAAAAAATTCTTTGAGTTGTTTGACACAGATTTTACCTACTATAAATAGACTGTCTCAAGATATAAAAACTGAGTACATTTGTCCATTCATACTAAATATAAATACATTTTTTGTCACATTGCTTAAATGTTTCAGTGCATGTCTTTTAGTTTACAGTAATCAGATAAAAAACATATAAATGTTTTTTCTTTCTCTTCAAAATTTTAACAGTATTGCCATGGGATACTGCTTACAAGAAAGCCTATCAATTTGGTTTTTTTTTTAACCTAGAAACCTGATGTGAGAACTGCATTTTTGTTTCTCAGAGATCAAAATCAAAATAAATTTTGGCAGCTCTTCCAGGAAGGGTAGTCAGAGATTTGATAGTAGTTAGGGGATATTTGTCGTATGAAAAATGCTGTCGAGTTTTAGAAGGTTAAAGATGTTGTTTATTGAAAATAGAGAAATTTATTACAGGTTTTCTTTCTGTTAGCATAGTCATGTTTAGAAGTTGTATTTGTTGCAAACTAGGCTCATCCTTGCTCAGACATTTCTTAGGTTTGTATAAACTTAATCTAATTTACCTAGAGATCATATGAGAAGAGGCAAGTTAAAGTAGATGCAGCGGCTGTAGCAACTTAGTCTTACACATGCTATGAGAGTAGCTTAGAACAGCTTAATTGATAACACATGGATGCTGTGTGCATGATAAAGTTCTGGGAATTCTAAAAGTTTACCTACTATATCATTGATCTTTATATACTTACCCAAACTTTTTCTGAAGGCTTCATTAGTTTATTACCTTTCTATTTACAATCTTTTGAATCTTAATAATACTTAATTTAAAATTAGGAGAGAAATATTCATGCCATCATTTGAAATGCACAAATGTATTTGTTATGCAGATTTCTACTAAGTAATTCTACTGTAATAAGAGAATCTGTAGTTACCCATTACTGGCTTGTCATTTTAACATGAATTTACCCCATAGGAACTCAGGCTTTTGCGATATGAATTTTAATATTTGATTAATCTAATGTTTAACAGACGGTATTATTTCGTGTGCATAACTGTCTGCTTTTAAGTGCAACACTGTTGCATCAGTAACAATGAAAACAAAGTCGGGTATTTCATAGTTGGAGATGGAAAATAATTTTGTCACATCATTGTTATTTTACTTAATGTAAATAGTGGTACTAGTGTTCCAATAAATAGGATAAGAGCTTATTCAATTATCAGTGATATTAAGTACTGTGAGCTTGTTTGAATATGATGACTGTAGACACAATTCATTAATTAAAAATCTGGTTTTAGGTGATTATAAGCTCATGTCTATCATGAAAATCTCAACATAAGTTTTATTCAAGATTTATAAACTGTGCAAAGTTTTTAGCAGTCAGTATTTTACTGCAAAATGTCTCATTTCAATTGAAGATACTGTTTTTACTATGTTAAATTAGGAATTTACTTAGAAAGCACCAAGTTTATTTTTTGCCATGTACCAAGTTTACCATTTTTTGTTTTCTGAACAAGTACTTAATATTATGAATTTGTCATATTATGAAGCTGTGTCATGCTGGGTTTCAAAGAAGCTGGCTCTAGCTGTTCCCAGATCTCCTTTGCTAAGAAAAAAATTGTTTGGATCCAAGACCAATTAGGTTAAGACCTCTCTGGTTTGTTACACCTTCAGGAGCTAAAGCATCAGAAAGTGCTTGATGCTTGCTGGCATAGATTTCTACAAGGCAGTAAGTACTTACTGAAGTAAACAAACTTAGCTTGTGGCATTTTTTGGAAAAAGCACTAGTATAAAAACAAGTAAACCAGAAATAATTTAGAGAAAAATAGCCTGAAAACCTGGCTATTTTGGCTGTGGAGAATACCATCTTTTCTATGCCCTTATTATGTATGTGACAGGATGGAAGAGCTGAATAATACAAACAACAAAGAAATAATGTAATGCATTATAGAAAACAAATGATTAAGGTAAGCATAGTGGTACAGCTGCAAGACAGACATGGAGGTGCTGGAGTATATCCAAAAAAGAGTAACAAATAGCTGGTGAGCAGTCTGGAGAACAAACCCTATGCAGAGTGACTGAGGGAACTGGGATTGTTTAGTCCAGAGCAGAGAAGGCTCAGGGGGAACCTTGCTGCTCTCTACAACTGCCTGAAAGGAGGTTGTAGTGAGGTGAGTGTTGGTCTCCTCTTCTGAGTAACAAGTGATAGGACAAGAAGAAATGGCCTCAAGTTTTAGATTGCATAGTAGAAATTTTTTTTTCACGAAAAAGGGTTGTCAAGCACTGGAAGAGGCTGCCCAGAGAAGTGGTTGAGTCACCTTCCCTGCAGGTATTTAAAAGATGTTTAGGTGTGATGCCACAGTTCAGTGGTGGACTTGGCAGTGTTAGTTTGGTTGAACTCAGTGATCTTAAAGGTGTTTTCCAACCTCAACAATTCTGTGAAGGGAATCTTGTCATTCACCACTCGTATGGTGTGAGGATGGCTTGCATGCACATTCATCATTAATGTGAAGAATTTATTTTCTGATACTCCTGCTGTACAAGAGTAGTTTTCTGCATCATAATGTAAAAGAAAAAAAAATGAAGTTTCTGTGTAAATTGGAGTTACCCAGCCAGTTCTAGGCTGTGGCTTTCAATTCTGAAGTACATATCAGAAAATGATTCTGATTTGAGGCACTTCTCTGGTATCCTTGTGACCACTTATCCTGAGTAATTTTACTGGTTTGGTCCACACTAGGAAGTTATGGTTGTGGATTACTCTTGGGTTATTCTTTCATGCCTAATAAGGTTCAAGAGCACTTTATGTCTTAGAGAAACAAAAAAAATATTTAATATTTGCTTTTTAGTGTGAAGTTTCATGTACGCCTTAAGGTGTTAGATTTTGCAGGGCAGCTTTGCAGAATGAAAGCTTGATAGAACATAACAATGTTCTAGTTCATAGTCACATAGCTAGTTTTCGCTAGCTATTGTAATTTGCATGGGATCTCTTTGGTTTTGGCTTTGCCAGATAATTTTTCTGGGAAGCCAATTAATAAAACTGTGATTAAACTTAAATTCTGAGTCTGTACGTGTGCATCTACTGAGTCTTGAACTCCTTGGTTAACAACTTACATTTGTATTTGGGTAGGACTTTGTATATGTAAACTGCCTTGCTGTTTAGGTCTTTCTATGTTTATAGTCTTCTAAATATTAAAAGAAATATGAGAGTTTAATCTATGCTGAACATTGTTTAAAGCATAGATGGCTCCATCCCTGTAAGGTAATGATAATTTTATGAAGTTCTAAAATGTTCTTCTAGTTCTGCTACTTTCTGACTAATCTTTTGTTTGTTTGTAGGTAGATACTGAGCCATCTGATGAAGCTGCTCTGATTCTTCACAGAAAGGGATTTGACTGTAGATTTTCAAACAAAGACATGGGTCTGCTCTGTTCCACTACTCAGGGAAAGGTAAACTAACATTTTATAGGTATTGTAGAAACACTGATAATTAAGGCAACTAATAGATGAAGTCTGGGTAGTAATGTCTCAAGAGTTACACTTTCGGGATAATAGCTAAGTTTACCTTGAAAGCTGTTTTCCATTTGATAAAGATATGGATCTGCTGGTATGTGGGAATGACCATGTAAGCATTAACAAGTAAACCTGTAGGTTAGTTTTAATCTCATTAACTTTCTGTACTTGTTTTCATAAAACATAGATCAGTATTTTTCAAATAATTTTTAATAGTGTTTTAGAACTTTACTATCTAAAAAGAGTCAAGTTACATATTCTGAAGTGTATCTTTTACTATTATTAACATATCCACAAACCATGTGACTGTTACTTTAAAAACTTGCTTATTAGCATGTCATTTGTCTACCCCTGCTCACTTACATGACCTACACCACTGCAAATATCTGAGTGTTTTGCAGTTGCTGTAGAATTGATGTGATACATAAAATTATGAAATATAAATCATGAAACTTTGAGGGTTACAAATGGACTAGGTAGTTATGAATCTGTATAAATTTTGTAATGATTATCTTTTAAGCAGAAGAGCAAGTGTTGTTTTATTTGGAAACAAGATAATTTTAATCCAAATGTATCTAATCAGTTTTTTAATATATTGATTTAATTTACTTGCTTTGAAATGTGGCAAGTAAACAGTGCCTAAGAAGATTTGATTTATTGTGTAGCAGTTGAGACAAGACACTTAAAAAGTTCATATTTGATGTGAGAGTTGCTGTGCTGATACCTGTAAGGAGGGGTATCATTTGGATCCTTGTTGGAGATTTTGAAGGTATTTTCTAAATGTAGTAATATAGTTCTCTTTTTTTTTTTTTTTTTCCCTTCCAGGTAAAGGTGCATAAACTCTTTAACAAATTCAAAGTGGAAAGTCTTACACCCACATCTTTATCTTTGATGCATTCACCTCCAGATGCCAGAAATGTAAGTGAAATAAGTATGAGTTCTATGGAGATAAATACCTTCCGAGTTCGGCTAAGATGAAAGCTGGCTTTAATACTCAGATAAAGAGAAATCTGCAGTTGTATCTTCTCTAAGTTTTGCGTGCAATAAGAAGCACATTATTATTTTTCCAGCTTCTGGATGCTGTGAGAGAACCATGCATTCTATAATTTTTTTTGACCAACACAGTGAAAAGCCATGTTGCAAGCAGCTTACTTTGTTTGGCTGTTTTTTGTTTCTACTTACCCCACCTCCCCTTCCATATAATAGCAGCATCAGTATAAGTTAATGGAGCAAGTGAAGAAATTTCTAAGGATGTTAACCTCTCAACAGATTAAATCTCAGGTTAAATGCTAACTAACTATGTTTCTAGTGTTTTAATTTTCGTAAAGAGGGGATTGGATTTTAAACAGCCTTCTTTGCTGATCCTTGATGAATTTATGTACAGATAATTCAGTGTAGAAGTCCTGATGCAGCTTGTGAATAAAATAGAATAAAATGTTCTTACATAGTAGCTAATGTCCAAATATTTACAATTGTTTATATAAATGACAATAATCTCAATTTATTCCACAATTAATTTCAATTTACTCAACAAAAAGGGGATTATTAATTGTGGTAAAATGAAAACCTGCAGTACTTGTAATAAGTGATGGTAGATTTAATAGTTCTACCATTCACCTGAGTTATGTAAATACAAAAACATGAACCTACAAAATAATTTTGCAATGGAAATGTTTAATAAAACTCCCATTTTATTACTTGACACATTGGGATATGTGCAATTATTCCATTATCATGTATGATGAGAAATGTCAATAATTGTCATGAATACAAGGTTTTTTTACAAAAGTCAGATACAGTGTTCTTTGAAATGAGTTTTCTATTTCAAGGTTACCATATCAAGATTAATGTGCCTTATTTTTTGATACGTCTTGTTACAATTTTGGTGTCTATGTTAATGTTTTTGGGGAAAGGTAGTTTATATAATACTTAAGCTGTGTATCTCCTATTTGACAATGCTGGCCACACTCTGATCTGCACCATGTTTGTGCTATGTTATTCTGAACATTTTGACTATTTGAATGTATTAAAATGATGTCATAACATGAAATAAAAAATAATCACTGTAAAATCTAAATTCAGCTGCTTTCATAGAGAAATTGCAGCTTGATGCAGAGAGTTGATACTAAGCAAGGCATAGTTGGCGAACCCATCAGAACGTGCTTGCATATCGCAGACTGTGGTGACCTGTTAATTCAGAATCATGTGCCTATATTTTAACATTTTTCAAATTTGCAACCTCACTTACATTGCCAGTGTTCACCTTGACAGTGTTCACATTACTGAAGAATGGAGTCTTACTTTTGCTTTGTCTTCACTTAATTCATATTTAGTGTGGAAGCCATTCAAGTGTGAAAAATATTTCCCTAAGTAGAGTTGCTTTTTACAGTTAATGTATATAAATATCCACTCGCCTATGATCCCATTTCCTAATCTTCATTTATTTTCACAACTTTCTTCTATCTCTTGCTTATGAATTACTTTTGCATACATCATTGCTTATCTTTCATACTAATGCATGAAAAGTCATCGTAACTGGTAAAAAGATGTGCTATTTTCTAACTCTAGTATCACAGTTATTTAATTTCATCATTGTTGTTCTACAGTGTATCAAATTATATCATGTAGCTACAGGCTATCTTAAGACAAAACGAAAGTGAAACTTTAATTTCATGCATTGTCACAGGTTGGATCTCTGAGATCTATAGATTTCCCTACTTAATTCAATCTACTGTGCATTTTGTAATTAGTGGAATACTTGCTAGGATCTGGTGCAAGTTAATAATACAAGAACCACTAACCACAAGTGGAAAATCAGACAGATCCAGTAAATAAATGTTTTCATGCAATAAACATGTACTGTAACTTTTATTAGCTGTAGTATTTGAAAATACTGTTTTTTGTTGGAACTCGAAGCGTGGTAAGCTTGCCAGCAGAAAATTCCCATAACATTTATTTTTTTGCATCCTCAGAATTAAAATGCTTCAGAGACTTACATGTTCTGTACAAGAGCACGTTCAAAGTACTATTTCAGTTTTGTTAGGCAGAAAAGTTAAATTTTGATGCAATAATATCTTAAAGTATTTTGCCTGTTAAAATTGCTTCCAAAACATGTTTCGTATAGCATTCAGTCTTTTCTTTTATCATCAGCTGTACAATCAAGATGCCTTCCTTAACCAGCAGATTTAATCTTTGTTCCTTTATCTTGCATTTTTTTTGTGTAACAATTTGGGATCCTTTCCTGAAATCCTTAACTAAGCCAAAACTGCAGTCAAAGTCTGATAATAAATTTTACTTTAATTGGTTCAGAATGTGACTATTTATGGGGTTTGGGATTATTTTTAACAATTTAAAATAAATTCCTAGGCTGTATTTTTTTATATTGGATATTTCAATTAAGTTCTTGACTTTTTCTGTGCATTGGCCACCTAATTTAATCATATTGTTTTATTTTTTTTTTCTATTTTAAAGCTGCTGGGTTTATAACTACTGGTTAAGCGAACCAAGCATCCTTACTTTCCTTCCAGTAGGGTTTTAAAGACAATGTTGTTTAAGAAATGGGTTTAAATCTTGTAATTACTTTCCATACCAGAGTTGTACCTGTGCGGAATTTTCTTTTACATTCCTTTATCTTAAATGTCTTTGGTTTATTTGCTCATATTGTCTGAAATAAACTGATTTCAACTGAAGGTTTTGATACTTTTCTCTTGGAAGGTTTTATATCTCATGGGGATATGTAAAATATGATCTCTAATAAAATATAGTGTTATTGTGATATGTGTTCAGTGTCATTAATGACTTAAACATAACTAAAGAAAAAAATAAAAAGGTAAAAACAACAAGGTTGATATATCGGTAGCTTTTGGGGGAATGACAGTTATCTGTAGTGAGATGAACTGATGAAAATGCAGTCTATTTCATGGTTGTTAAACAGAAAGATGCTAACTTCAGAGATGAAAATGTGTGATTACACAGTACGGGAAGGGGATGGGAAGCTCTTTCACAAAAGAAATCTTGCACTGACTTAGCAGCAAATAGAAGGTGTAAAATTCTAATTTATTTTTACTTGAATTAATCTAATTTCTCCTTTAAACATTTGAGAAGAATGGAATCTGTTCTTGTAAATTAAATTAACAAAGACCCCATTAGAAAATAGTGAAAATAACAGTTCAACTGAAATTAGAAGACTTTTAAGAAAATATAATATAATGCTAATACAATATGCTGTAATTAAATATGACAAATTGAACAGGCATACATGCTTTAAAGGTTTGCTTCCCAAAGTACTGTTGGAGCTTGAGTGTAATAAGTTGCAACGACGATTAGTATAAATTTCAGTTAAGTGACTGAAGCTTATTTGATATTGGACTGGATAGTCTTAGCTATAAATACAAAAGTATGTATATACATAATTTTAAAGCTGATGTTTCAAGATGAAAGTGTATGACATCACAGCATCCAGCAATGTGTATGGGTCCAATTTAAAGCACCCCTTCACTTTTTTAAGGTCATCCTACTCTGGGATCCATTATCAGCATGACCATCTGGATAGAACATATTCTACTAATAACAGTTACCAAAGAAATAATCTTCTATTTTTTGAAACTAAATTGACTGTGTTTGCATGTGTGTCCACTGTGTTTTGAAATAACAGGTGCTAAATTTCTCTGCACGTCTGCACTGATACTGACACAAAAATACATTGCTGAGATTTAATAGGTGGTCGGTTATATATATGACAAAATATAAAATAGAAATTAAATTTGTTGTCTATTGTAGGATAGCTATTATGTCATAAAATGAAGAGTTTGCAACAACAAGCCAAAGGTATTAATTTTGTCTTCTAAAACAAGGAGCATAGAAAAAATTAACACATTTTCTAGAATAAGCTGAATTCATTGGAGAGCTTTGTTATTGTCAGTGTTCTTACTGATACAAAGTTTCTCTATCTCCAGGCATTTCTGTAAATATTAAAATGTGGACCTGTCAGTCTTTTATATGCTTGTTTTATGAGCTAATTAGCTATTGAAAGTCCCGATTGCATCACTAGCTTTTGTCTGCCAGAATTTCTATGTTGTATGAATAATGTGTTATTTATGTTACTCTCCCAGCTTGGGTAAATTATTTAGTAATACTGAGGGTAATGAGAAAGTTATTAAATAAACCCCAAAACATCATATATGTAAACTTGTGCTGTTTGAACTGTAAATACAGGGCAATCTTTAACCATGCATTTCAGAGCTTCAGGTTCTCAATATAACATATGCTTCCTGCTATAGAGTGCCTGTTAAAGGGATGTCCATTGACAGTCTTAAGTGATTCACATTATGGGTATCAGTGAACTGGAGACTTTAATCCCAGCAATATCTGACCTGCTTTACCACCAGCACTACTCCCTGTGCATCACACACATTCACCATACAGGAAAGCATGTACTTCTTCTCGAATCATGACCTGCAAAGTAACTTGTGGTCTTCTCAGCTATTCTAGTTTTATTTCTGTTTCTTAGTTATTCCTTTTGTGCTACCTTCTCCTTCCTTAGCATGCCAGCCAAGTGTGTAGTCAGTTGTAGGCTTCAGCATGTCCGCAGCCTTCCAGCTCTGGCCTGTGTGTGCTACAGGGCAGACAGCCTGCAGCATCAGTCAAAGCATGAGAAGTGTGGATGCGAGCTCTCAGCTGTTCAAGAATTCCATGGTTTTAATCTACAATAAGTATGCACATGGGGCACATGCCCTGCTTGCTTGCCACAACTGCTTCACAACACTAACCTGTTCTTCAGGAACATGTATTTTTCTAAATTTCTAAAAATTCACTTCAACTTTTCCCAATTTCTTGAAATAAATTTGTACATTAGTGAGCTGGAATTGTGTGTGATCAAGAACCCAGGAGTTCCTGGTACTCATCAAGAGAGATGGGGGAGTGCTGAAAACTCTGCTCTGTCAGAGCTCTGCTTAGGTAGAGGGGTAAACACGTTTTCCATTTCAGGACCTGTCAGTCATCCTCAAGTTTGCCTGTAACCTACCTTCCATAGGTCCTGAATGTTTTCAGAATTAATTGATCTGTCTTGATCACAGAATCGTAGAATAGTTAGGATTGGAAAGGACCAAGAAATAATAAATCAGAGACATTTTGCCCACTGTTACGGCATGGAGACCCTCTTTGAGTTTCATGTTTCCTAGCTGTCTTTTCCAGAAGCAGGTAGGCACAACCCTATTGATTTAACTACTCTGAAAAAAGAAATCTCTAGTTCAAGTAACTGTACAAATCTCAGAATGAGATGCAACCCAAAAGACTTTTTACAGCTTTTTCTTTAGAACTCAGATCTTTTTAAACCATAAGCTTCTTACTGGAAGAAAGAGAGATTGTACATTCTCCATCCCTAGCAATACTCAAAAGCCATCTGGGAATGGTCCTGGGCAAAGGGGCCCTGCTTGAGCAGGTGGTTTTACAAGATGACATCCAGAGGTCCCTGCCAGCCACAACCGTTCAATCGTTCTGTGAAGCTGCATGCCCTGCTCCTGTGAAGGGGAAGAGACTCTTCATTTGATAACCAGAATCTATACAAGATCCGGATGCGTGTTTTAAGATGTGAGGCTAAAAATGATAGCTGAAAATTGAGAGATGGAAAAACATTTAACAGAAATGGTTTTCCTGGTTCAATGTGCAGCACTGAACATTTCCAGGAAAAAAATGGAAAATGGCAAGATTAAAGATGAATTTGGACTTGCAGTTTAAAATGCTTAATGGAGGTAAAATACATCCTAAGTAAGCCGTGCTGTCTGAATAACTTGCAGCAGGAAACTGAGAGAAATAGCTTTGCAAACAGATGACCTTTGTTCACAAAACTCTTCGTTAAATACTTGCAACAGTGAAAGAAGCATTTTTGTTCCATATGTTTTGAATTATTTAAAAAAGTAACCCATTCCAAGCTAAAATAAACAATATGAGTTTAATGGAAGCAATTCATGTAGGCAGTGATTGTGTCAAAAGATTGAATACAGCTGTTAGAAATATGTAGATTCTGAATGGAACATGCTAGTAAAAGTTCTTCGCCTAGATAAAGAATTAAGGTTTGCATACCAAAAGGAAGTAGTCTATTTTGACAGAGCTAGAATCAGTCCCTTTGCTTTTGCTTGTGTCTTGGTAAATGAACTCCACTAGCTTGACTAGCAGACATGAGAAAGAAACTATGAAAGCTCAAATGTAACTAAGGCAAACTTATTCAAATGGGCTTGGCACAAAGATCCACAATCTATTCACCTAATCGGTCTACAAATAGACAAAATGTGTTGTGAATTTTCAGTCATCAAAACCTGGGCCTTTGCAATATGAGAAAGATGCTAATAACTGCATTGAGTTGGGTTTGAAGATAGCTAATAAATGTGTATTTGCTGCTAGGAAGTTCGTCTTTAGAGAGATTGTCTGTGTGAAACTGATGATTTATGGGCTATTATTAGCTTTCCAGTACAGAATACATGAGGAGTAGCTGAAATGAGAAACTTATAGTTTGGGGATTTTTAGCAGTTAAATCTCCTACAGATATGTATAAGAAATGGATCTCTGTTCATTTTCTGAATGTTTTTGACAACTAGTAAAGAGGTGGTAGGTTTTTTTATTTTTAATATATAAGATATGAAACAGAACCACCTAAGTGCTAGCCAAGAGGAAAAAACAAGTACTGATTTCTTCCTTGATGACATACATTTAAATGGGGAGAACCAAAAAGCTCTTCCAAGCTGAATGCAAGAGCAATCTTCTAAATCCAAGTAAAACGATATCTATGGTTCACTGACTTAACAAGAGTCTGGAATGGGTGTAACTGTGATACAGATACCACCTAAGTAAACATCAGTAGCCAAAAAAAGTACAAAGAAGCATTGAGATCTCATTCCTCAGAGCTTTGTCAAAATCTGTAGGGGGACTTTCAGCAGTTCTTGTCATCTTCCTCATGTTTCAATTAAAAATACAAAGCAAATAAGAAAACCCACCCGAAACATACATCTATTTCATCCAGTCTCTGGGAATATCATATCATCTCAGTCATGATTTTTAGAATTCCACAATATAATGTCTATGTAAAGTCCAGTTCACTTTTATATTGTAAACTGTGATCAAAACTTGGGTTTTGCAGGGCTTTGTAGACACTGCTTTCACATTAGCACTGCCCAAGGCTTTAAGTGGCCCAAGCCTTCTGCTATGGTGACAGCAGTTTGGATGTGCAGGTCACAGACTCAGAGTTAGAAAGGTGGTGGCTATGTGGTAATGGGAGGTGTGGAACTGTGAGTGGTCAGGGTGGGAGTTTATACAGTTCCTCTAAAAGTGAGGGCAGTCACCAATTCAACACCACCTTACATTTGAAACAAGTTGAAAACTTGAGAATAAAAGGATTTTTATTGATTGGCAGTGATGCATGGTATCTTGGCAGAGGTGTTAGGTTTAATTTTGTATTCTACACTTGGCTTTAAAAGTAGGTACTGGTAAATGGAACTTAATCTAAATGTCAAAGGAAAAATGTTTTTGTGGTAATGCCAGAGCTGTGATAACATAAAGTAGTATCTCTTGTCTTACATAATGCCTCAAACCAAAATCTTTGATGGCTATTGCTTGTTTGCTGAAAGATGGTACCTTGGTACGTATTACAGTCTTTGAACAAGGATTGATATGATTTCAAGTGGTCTGTGAAAACACAGGATTGTCGATATGAACAAATATGAAGAAATGTGAATAATTAAAAAAATATATAATTTATTTTAGCCACATAATCAACAACGAGAA